CCCTTTTTTTGAAGTCACGTATTTGAATCTCAAAAGTAAGATGTCAGTTATATTTTTTCGTACCAATTAATATCATAATTTTTAGGAAATGTATGTCATTACGTGGGCTCTATCATTAGTTGCGTATGCTTTTGTAATTGCGAATGCCCTGCCAATTGAGAATGCAACTTCGAATTCATCAGGTGAATGAATGCCTAGTATACATAGTAAATAAATCAGAATCACAGAACTGTTTGCAGTTGTCAATAAGTGATTTCAGAAGGTGAAATGGATCAGTCACTGGGTAAGACGGATTACTTGAGCTATTTCCAGCAAATGATGGGATATCCTCGGGAACTCATTGCAAGAAATATTGAAACGTTCACGAACAAAGACTTACTTCTTCTCAGAAGGTTTGCTTGCAGAGGCCAGTGTCAAGTTTGCAGTCTTTTTTCCTTTCTGTGTTAGCAATCTACAAAATATGCATTGCTTGAGACAACTTTGCTTCGACAAAGAAGTAATCCTTGGAAAAGTTGGACTTTTTTGAAATATTTATTTTGTTGTAGAAACAAACTTTTCTCTCAAATGGCAACGGGCATTCTCAATGAACGATTCCAAATTATACGTTTCAACAACGGTACATTTGAATCGCCTCTTCAGAAGAAGATCTTTTATGAATATATCCGTCGACGGAAGAATTGTACCAACAAAGAATCCACATGCAACCATTTTGTAGATGACGTTTATTTGCACAACAACACAGGTTCTATGGTAAGAGTGAAGTGTGCACCTTGCAATAAACTTAACAGAGCAGATTCTATCTCTCATTTTTGCATCACAACTTCGAAATTTCAATGCTTGCATTAATTTTAAGATTTATGATTGACAATTTGACAATATTAGATCAGTTTAGCGCGCGTTTTTTTTTCGATGGATTCTGTGCGCGAAGCAATTAAGTTGATTGCGGAATAAGTTGTTAGTTTGGAATAAGGAAAGTACTTGAGAAGAATATTTTGGATTAAAATATTTTCAACAGCTAACACAGTAATGAACGCAAGCATGTCAGAATCACTGGATACCACAAGCGGCTATTGCTCTTGGCGATACTAATTGGAATGCAACAAGCAAAGAGTTATCCCATTATAGAGCTCTGAGGCTTCCATCATATATGGACATTGACGATCTTCTGTGTGAACAAATCAAATCCGAAAACGACAGTACTAATTAATAAGTTCATTCGTATAGCATATCACTTCTGTACATGAGAACTAGTTAAAAATTATTCTTTTTATTACTGATTTTCAGATATACCAATTGAAAATGGTGTGATTATACCAAAAATATACCAAGCATATGTTGATTTATACACCATCACAACATATTGGTCTGTCTTATCTTTAAATCGAAAAGTGTTACATATTATAGTAGTTTGAATATTAATAGCATTCAAGCAGTGCACTGAACAGTGTGCAATTTCTGATAGCTATTCCTTTTATAAT